GACATTGATATGGATATTATAGATTTATTGATATTGCTTATAGACTCATTGATACTATTGCTTCTGCACCATATTAGCCTGCTGCATTTGATTCATTGCTAGTATAGATTGGGTTTTATTGTTTTAATTGATTCGATTTGATACGATTGATTTGATTGATCGACTGATTTTCTATTGTTTATTGATTTTCGTATCCGCTGCATTGCCTATTGATTTGATTTCCGCTGCATAGATTCACTGATCATGTGTCATTGCTGTTATGGATTTGATAGATTGACATGCATATTGTTTCTAGTATCGTGTTTTGATTTCAGTTGTAGGCTTTGGTGATCTGCTGGGCTTTTTGAAGCTCATTATATGTGGTTAACAATTTTAGGTCCGAGCAAGGCAACTGGAATGGAGTTCGATCAGAATGTCAGACGAATCCTTTCACTATGGATGCCTGGGGCGTCACACCAGTCGCCAGAGCGGTAGAGGCGAGACAGCGCTAGTCGCCAGTGACGCGATTGGGAGGTTGGACTGCGACACGACGCGTCGAGTTGATTCGCGGGCAAGGAGGGCACGCCGGGCAACAGAAAGGGGCAAACTCATTTCCGGGTCATTTTCGGGTTTCCGGGTCAACCCGAACACGACACGTAACCCAAATCGTGTCAGTTCTTTGAACCCGAACCCGACCCGTTTGCTAACCGGGTCGATCCGAACCCGAATTTTTCCGTGTCGTGTTTCGGGTCGTGTCAAAAATTGACAGCCCTATCTCCAACCACGCGAAAAACTCAATTTCCACTCTAAAATACTGTAAATTTTCAAAATGCCTTAATTCAACTCCGATCGAAATGCATTTCATTCTTCTTTTGCACGCTTCCTACGAAGGTAACAATCTCTCTCCTCTTTCGTGTTCTTTTTTCCTCCTTAGCGCTCGTCTTCGGCAAATTCGGCAACTCAATTTTTTTTGCTTAGGTGAACGGTCTCACGTATATTGGCGTCATACTGTTCATCTCTACTGAATTTCAGCATGAGATTTGGAGTTCAAATGCAGCGAATGGTGGACATCATATGGTTGTATGCAGTTCATTTGAAGATGATCTAAGCTATTATAGACATTGATATATCATATAGGTATTTACCGTTATTTAATAACTTTTTAAATAAATATAAATAAAGTGACAAAAAGCTTCATATATATATATATATCCATGGTTAGGTAACTAATTGTTCCATCTAAACTTTATTATCATCAAATTACTAATGAGTTACACATGAGTCATATAGATTTATAGGTCAACGCTATCCAGCTTTAGTTTCTCAATGACTCTAAGGTTTCGATTAATGGGACAGCTTTCTTACTGTTTTTTAAAGCAACTTGCTAGTACAAAAAATTTTAGTTAAAATACTTTTAATGTGGGCACTAAGAAAACTATAATTATTTCCATCTTTATTATGTAATAGAGATTAAATATGTGAAGCATTATTATAGTTATAGTAATTAATAGAATAACTAAAATTATAAATTAAAAAAGAAAGACTTAACTTTTCTACACAAGCTCAACAACATATAGTCATCACTACAACAAAGTTCATGTCAAGTACTCTAAAGTTTTCTCCCATAACTTGCCATGCACATTAGCTCAAATAAGTTAAAAATTTTTATCCTCAACTTTAATTAACATTGGGTACTCGCTTGACAAATAAAAGGCATGTCAAAAATATAAATAAATGTCAGAAATTCAAAATTTATGAAAGACCGAACCGATGGAGAGGGAAGAAATTATTGTGTACGCAATCCGAACGCAGAGTAAGATTCGGATGCTGCGTATTTACTGCTTATTTTACTGCGTATTTTTTGATACATAATTTTTTCTACATATTTTTTACGTATTTATTGTATATTTAGTGAGTATTTAGTGAGTATTATTTATTTGTTGCTAAAATACGTAGAAAAAATTATGTATAAAAAAGCGCAATAAAATAAACAGTAAATATGCAGCATTCGAACCTTACTCTGCATTCGGATTGCGTGTACAATAATTTCTCCGGAGAGGGAGAGAGAGCGGGAAAGAAAGTGGAAAAAGAATATTCAATATTATTATGTAAAATTGTGTTAAAGTTAGTATAAATAGAGAGAGTTACATCAAGAAAGGTAACGGCTAGGACACATGTACAAGGGTGATATGTCCTAACAATTTAGACCATCCAATCCTCCAAATAAAGGTTGACAATTAGCAATATTAACTAATTGCATCACAACAAGAGCTACTTCATTAAATAATTATCTAATCATTAATAGCAGATTAAATAAAATAGAATAAGACATTATGTTATATTATAAAAATAAAAAATTAAACAAAATAAGACCTTAGAAATCTTTTGTGAGAGGCAAGGTGGGATGGGGCGAATGGGTGTGGATGGGGGATGGCAGGATACACTACAGGAAAATATTCTATTACCGGCGGATTTTCCGGCGGCTTTCCTGAGGATTTGTAATAGTATTATTTCTTAATTGGATGGTTGAAGTGGAGGAATACATCAGGCTTGTTGTGTGATAGAAAAGTACCCTCAAACTTAAGATAAAATTTTATAAGATAGTAGTGAGGCATGCAATGCTTTATGATGTTGAATATTGGCCATTAAAAGCGAAGCATAATACTAAGTTAAATGTGGCAGGGATGAGAATGCTTAGGTGGATGAGTGGCTTTACCCTTAGATATTGGATACGAAATGGCATATACGTGAAAAGGTTTGAGTAGCTCCAATAGAAGATAAGATTAGAGAGAGTCATCTTAGATGGTTTGGTCACATAAAACAGCAGTCTTTCGATGACCCGGTTAGGAAAGTAGAGGTATTAGATTTGACTTATATTAAGAAAGATAGAGACAGCCCTAAAAAGACTTGGTTAGAAAATATTAAAAATGATATTTCTTTATTAGATTTAAACGAGAATTTGACTTTTAATAGAACACAATGCATGGAGAAAAAGGATTCATGTACTCGACCCCACGTAATGGGATAAAGGCTTGATGTCATTGTTGTTGTTCTTGTTGTTGTTACTATTTCTTAAATAAATGGATTTGCAATTTTTTTATGCATTTATATTATCATATATTCAAGCTTCCAAATTATGATATTTTATTCAGTTATTCCAACTTTAAAGTTCTAATTGCTCTATTATGTATAGACAAAATGCTTTGGGTGATATATATTAATGTTGTGAAAGATAATTATTTAAAGGGAGGTGTTGTAATTTTTTTTTTTTTTTTTTTTTTTATTTTTTCCAAATTGTTAACAAATTTGGCAATTTTGCACAAGTTGATAGAAAATTTATAAAAGTAAATTTAGGCCCCTATCATCATTGCGAGAAAATTTGTAAAAGTGAATTTAGGCCGTCGCTGAAAAAATTTGTAGCTCCGCCACCGGAGGACGACCACCTTCAGTAACATCCACTATTTTAATTTGTGCACCACCATACAATGTTACATGTGATAAATGCAATATAAAAATTAATTCATTATGCACATGTCATAATTAATTTTTCATCAAAATATCCTAACTTTCACTGGCAATTCTTGCAAAATATTCTTTAAAAAAAAAAAAAAAAAAAAACTTAGAAGTTGCATCCGAAATTACAAATTTATCTTGGTTTGGAAATCATAAAGTAGGCCAATAATTGCACGTTTCTTTGACCAGCTAAATTAATAACCTTCAGCATTCAAAAAATGACCTCTTGGTCATGTCGTTCTTCAATCACATTTATATCATATTTTTTTATAACATTTTTTGACTAGTTGTACAATAAAATAAATTATCTAAAATTACGCAATATTTAATGTTCTGATTAAACAAAAAAACTAAATATTTATTATTATATTTTCTTATTATTTTCACTAGCAAACAAGGCAATAAGTGTTCAAAGATGCCGGCCTCCATTTCTCTCAAGAATTTTCTTTTTAGACATTTAAGTCTCTTTTAAGTTAAATTGACATGCACATCATATACATAAGCTTCGAACTCAAAATCTATTAGTTGATAGTCAAAACTTTTAACCAACAGATTAAGACTTCGTTTGAGATTGTTTTCTTACTGCATCTTAAATCAGCTTCTAGTACAAAAATTTTAATTTTTATACTAAAAAGCTGCTTTAAGAAGCAATAAGAAAGCCATCCCAAATGAAGCCTAAGATTTAGCTGCGTATGTGATGTACCATACTTATTTTCTTTACTTTTATTCAGAGAAAGAACTCTTTATAAATACCATAATAACGCTATCTTCTTCTTCATCCAAGGAGCAAAACTGGAGCATAGTTAGCTCATCATGAAAACAAATCACGAGAGCTTGATTATCAGTGAACCTGCTGCAAAGAGGCTAACGAAGGCCCCCAAAGGCTATGTGCCGATTCTGGTGGGCGACGAAGGAGATGAGATAGAGGAAAGATTTTTTGTTCATATTAAGATGCTAAGGGATCCTTCCATTATCGACATGGGCGGATCCACCCATACCTTAGGGTGGGCAAATGCCCACCCTCAAAAATTTTTTTTAAAATATTTAGAGGGGAAATTTTGAAATATTCTGGGTATTTTGGGCATTTTGCCCCTTCTCAAAAATCTTTTTTGTCTTACTTTTACCAATCCTAAGAATTTTTGCCCATCTCTCACAAAAAAAAAAATTTTTTTGCCCACCCTAAAAAAAGAAGCTGGATCCGCCCCTGATTATCGAGCTCTTTGAGAAGGCTGCAGAGGAGTTTGGTTACAGGCAGGAGGGAATACTGAGGATTCCTTGTGGTGTCGAACAGTTCAGGAGAACAGTGGGAGAACGTAGAAGAGAGAGATATTGATGTGCATTTCATGTTGTTGAGTTTAAGTCCATGATTTCATTCATTTATTTTTTTTAAATGCAATCTGTACGTGGTGTTATCAAATATGTATTTGAACTATATATATTCAAATTAATGACTGAGTAATATGTTACTTAACTGTTCATCCACCTTATTGCCTGCAAATGGTAGCTTTGATGTAGGTGATCACTAAGCTTCATTGTATGCACTCCATATCATCAATCCAATACTATCAAAAAATAGGTCTATCGTAGAACAATTTTTGACCTATTCCGACGGTTATAAACACCACAACTTTCTTTGCAGGAGTTTTAAAATCGTTGTATCCCCACTGTAATTACAATGCGCTGTAAAGACATTCCGCAGCGGTTTAAGGATTGGCACGGTAGTTCTGATGAAGTACTGAATTTAGCAACAGTTTAAGGACCGGACAGACTTGAGGCTTTGATGCAGTCGATCGACTCACTCTCCAATCGAATGTCAATATCTATGCACGAAGAAGGAAAGAACGAGAAGAGGGAATCGTGCTCGCTTGCAAAGAAGGTGGAAGTAGAAAGTGCGGGCGAAGGTGATCGAGAAGCCAGCGTCGGACCGGCCAGTTTAAGACCTAGGGTTATGTTTGGCTATCCCATCGGCTAAAGCCGGTGGTATTTGCAGGGGTTAAAAACCAATGCCGATTCAAAACACTCGTTTTGGCGGTGGTTTTCAAACCGCCTTGACAAGTGCTGCAAAAACTCAATTTTTTTAGTAGTGCAATGAGTACAACACCAACTTTTAATTTGGGGATTCTTTTCCGTAGAATGATCATTTGACAATCAAGCTCTAAAGTAATTTAGAAATGGTATGAACTTTAGATTTCAAGGGAATGTTGATTGCTATATATATATATATATATTATGGTGGATCAAATTCAGACAATTTCTCTTTTCTCATAGAAATAAATTTGATTGGAGTGAAATCATATAAATCTTTGTATCTCCTTTTTCGTTCTCATTCTTTTCTATCATTTATTTTGTGACACATCTTCCTCTAATCTATGATTTCATCTTTGAGTATTTAATACTCTACTGGCAAAATTGAGAATTTTATTTCAAATTTTGGGGTTTAAATTTTAATTGACCTAGAGAATATTATGCAAAATTTAACATTTATGTTTTTTTTTTTAAAGAAAATAGGATTCTTCATATTTCTGTTTCACCTTCCTTCATATTTGTTGATCTTGAAATATTTTTACAAGTAATTTATATCTCTTATATTTGAAACCCAAAGTATTGCACTTTTTTAAGAATCTTTTTTTATTATGTTTCATGTTTAAATTAAGTTATGACATGTCCACACAATATGATCAATATTTATTTAATGTCTACACAATAGCATAAAGTACTTAATAAAAACTCCCAAAAAAATGCAAAAAGAGTGGTTGTGTGGGGATGATATGCCACTAATGGGATTAATTATTCTGTGCGGATGTCGAACGCCGTCCGGAGATAAATCAGAATGCATCACATCACTCCTTCATTCGGTATCGTGGCTCAGTACTGCTTGGTGTCACGCCTCGGTACCACTAACATGACGCATTTTGATTGGTCTTCAGACAGCGTTCTGCGTCCGACCTCCACAAGCTATTTAATTTGTGATCTCGAACTTCTAGTATGTTCATACATGATAAATTAACACTTAACTGTTACACTGGTCATCTTGATCTGTTGATTGAGAGGCTTTAACTATTAGCAAAGATGTTTTGGCTTTGAAACTTTGAAGTCTTTTTCATAGAAATCATTTATATTGTAGGGAAAAAATAACTTTTTTTTGAGAAAATTCACTCGTAAATAGGTGATAGATGAATTGCAAACAGATTTCTATTCGAAATCCTTCAATGAAACCTCTGCCAAAAGAGAAATTATTGTTTGCGGAATTCAAATGCATTCGGATTCCAATCACCATGCGCCACGTCACTGGATGCACTGGGCCCCGTAGTGCATCCACTGATGTAGCAAGCGGTGATTGGAATCCGAATGCATTCAGATTCCGCACACAATAATTTCTCCTGCCAAAAATGCTTTACGGAAGCCGAGAAACTCTTCATAAAACTATCTCGATGGATTTCAAACAAATTTCTACCCATTGTTAAGTTCAACGATGATTCTATAATTCTTGCGAATATTTTAAATCTACTAATCTTCATTTTTTTCATCTTTATCTATCTATTTTGGAGGTCTAGTTATTGTGTATACATATTTTTTAAACTCAATATAAACCTAAATCTTAACCATTGTATCATTGTATGTTGCATTCTCAAACTAAAAGGTATTCAACACTTTATACCATATAGTTTAATCATAAACTAAAGTTTCATTTGGGACGATTTTTTTTAATGTTTCTTAAAAATAATTTTCTATTACTAAAAACTGCTTTAAGAAGCAGTAAGAAAGTCCTTGTTTGGGACGGCTTTGTTTGGGACTGCTTTCTTACTGCTTCTTAAAGCCGCTTTCTAGTACAAAAATTAGAAAGCCGTCCCAAACGAAGCCTTAATTTTCTATAACTTTTTTACTACTTTGTAAAATAATAAATTTTTTATCACAAACTTAATTTGAAAATAATAAAAAAAGGCCCCATCCCATTTATCTAAAAGTATAAAGAAGGCCAGTAATTTGCACGTTGCTTTGACCTCCTAAACTAATAACCTTCCGTTTTTAAGGTGAATTCTTTTTCAAATCGTTCTTTTATCACATTTTCATATCATTTTTTTTTATAACCATTTTGACTAGCTTCATTATCCAATGGACCTCTTACTTTTTTTTTTTTTTTTTTTTTTTTTTTTTTTTTTTTTTTTTTTGGGAAATTTAGGACCTCTTACTTACTATCAAAGAAATTTTAAATGAAAGTCAACGTGCAGCTGCAGCAAATAGTATTTCTGAGCAGACGTCTATGTCACGAGATTTGAAAATAAATAGTTATTTTAGAATATATTTGATGTATTTTATAGCAAATAAATAAATATAAAATAACATAATATAATAGAGAAATATTTGAAATTAGAGAATATTTAACGTTTCTGATAATACAAAAATACATATTCTGATTTTTAATAAAATATATTTTAATATCAAAATTTTATTTTAAGATATGATAGATAAAAGGTTTTTGTTGATAGGACTCGAAGAGGAAAAAAGTAACGTTTATTAATAATGCATTCACTCAATTTTTATTTTTTGTGGCATTTTGGTTAATTGAGGAAAATACATACATCACATATGTAAAATTCAAAGTCAAAATCTCTTAGTTGATAATCAAGGCTCACAACCAACATATAAATTTGAGCTTCATTTCAATTTACAAGTTTTACTTTAGTGTTGTGTGCTCTCAATTTTACGAGAAATTATTCTGTGCGGACACAGAAGCAACTCTGCATACATAAACCAATCAGAATGAGCCATATCAACAATTCTGATCACGGTTTCAAGCGGTAACAAACCGCGGCACCCAGTAGTACCAAGCCGCGATACCGACATGACTTGTTCCGTTTGACGTCCGCACATAATAATTTCTCCAGTTTCACTTTGAATTAATGTTTTTGCGTTTTTTTTTTTTTTTGTAAGTTATATATTTTATTTCCCACTAAAAATTCATTTGATCGAATATGAATTTATATATAATTTTTTAGATCTTAAAAGTATTAAGTGATCAAATGTAAAATATATCAAAAGCTGCTGAGGGTGTCTCCTCTTTAGTAACTTTCTTTCATTCAACACACTCATCCACAAATTGTTGAGCTATACAAACTTATATAAGCTCGTCTGTTTTCTAAAAGCTCTCCTTTTTAATTACTTGCACCCTTCTTAGGGCCTATTTAAGGAACAATTATTAGGTCCTCCGACCGGACGTAAAGCTACGTCCAATCGGAACTAAAATCGCGCCAAAAAACAAGAAATACCGAGTAATACCAAACAATAACAAGGAATACCATCATGTGAAGACTCAATACCGAGTTATACCGAGCTATACCAAACAATACTGAGTTAAACAAAAAAATACCGCTGCTCGGTATAACTCGGTATTGATCTTCACAGAGCGATGTTTCTTGTTATTACCAAATAATACCTAACAATACCGAGAAAATACCGAGTTTTTTGGCGGGATTTTAGTGCCGACCGGACGTTCCTCTACGTCCAGTCAGAGGACCTAATAATTGTTCCTATTTAAGACAACTTTCTGGCTTCCTTACTGTTTCACATTGCAATCACAATTTCCTTTAGCTATAGTTTTCTTATTTAGAATTTTTTTCTAGGCTATAATTGGGACGATACAGCATTTCTGGAATAAAACAGATAGATTGAGATTTCATTTGGGACGACTTTTTTATTGTTGTTTAAAACAACTTCAACTTTTTAATACAAAAATTAAAAAAAATTATACTAAAAAGCTGCTTTAAGAAGCATTAAAAAAGCCGTTTGAATGAAATCTAAATGCCTCCGATGAGTGAAAGTGTGAAACAGCTAAATAAATTATCTGCCTTCTAAAACCAGATAATTAAATAAATTTACCTCATGTGTTCTGTAGCTGAATTTACTTCTTTTTCGAAGTAATCAGCTTCCACAAGAAATATATTTCAGTAAAATCTGGACAAAGACATCAACTTATGCATCGTTGCATGCAAACTTATACCCTATCGAGTGAAATATGATAGCTACAGCTGAAGTTTACATCACAGCTCATTTTGACTCCCCTTTCGATCAATCTGAAGTGTAACAAAGAAGAAGAATTTGACGTTTTACAGAAGAAAGATAAATTTTAGATATTATAATTTGACACTCAAAATTTTAATATAACAACATGACGATACAAACAACAAGATTGAGATGTGAAAGGAATCAATATCGAGTAACAAAATTTTCCCTTTACTCGTTCGAGTTAACATATGCAAAAGTAATCGCATAAAGGTAAGAGTGTTATGCTTTGTTTGGGACTATTTTTTTATTGCTTCTTGAAGCAGCGTTTTAGTATAAAAATTAAATTTTTTGTACTAAAAAGTTGTTTCAAGAAAAAATAAAAAAAGCTATCACAAACGACGCCTTAGTGTTACAAATAATAAAGTAGAAGATGGTTCTTTAAATGCCCAAAATTCCTACAACTGCTAATCTACCTGATGCATTTTGCCATTCAATGAAAAAACACCACCTTCGCTTATTGAAAGATCAATCTCCAAGGTCAAATCACTCTTAGATGTGGTGTAAACCTTTAAATAAACCGGACCACAGAAGGAACCAACTGGATCAAGAAAAAGCCTCAGTCATCAATATAACTTCATTGAAAGAATTCTGGTCCTTTCCATGGTATGAGCAACAAACTCTACACTTCTTTCACATCCACTACTCTCAACAACAACTGTACTGCCTGAAATGCACAGAATAAGTATAAGGAATACGCTTATTTTAGGCTTAACCACATGGCTTCATTTCTCCTTCAAGTTTGAATCTATGATAGAAATTTAATTTGATATACGAGAAATTATTAGGTGCGAAGTCCGGACATAGAGATACGTCCATACTCCAATAAAATGTTGACACGTGGGATGGACACATGGATATTCAATTGGATTGATTTTTTACTTTATATATTTAATGTGTCTGCGAAACTTTAAGCCAAGCGCACCAAAAGCACAGCCAAAGTGCAGGTAAAGCGCAGTCAAATCGCAACAAAAGAGCGGTCAAAGTCAAAGCGCAAATAAAGTGCAACTAAAACGCAGGTAAATTGCAGGTGAAGCGCAAGTAAAACACACAAAAAAATGCAACCAAAGTGAACTCCATGTGTCAAATTTTAAGTGGATATCCGGACTGTGTTAAACCGCACAAAAAAAGGTGCATTGCCTGAGAATTTTAGATGGCTAAAAAATTAAAAAAACGGTTTTTTTTTTCCCTTAAAAAATGAATGCAAACTTACAGATAATTTATCTTAGTGCACTTCTGGAGTGGGACTTCTGTTGTACACTAGCGTAGTACTGGTTGAAAGAACAATTGGAACCACTCTTTTCCATCTGAAAATCAAATGACATAGTTTAAGTTGTTTAAACGGGTAATTATTACAGTGAGTGGCATGAATGGATTGAATGTAAGCTACCTGAAGGAATGAATCAATTGCCGCGTGATCATTGGGTGAAAAGGAAATTTCAGCTCTTTTCCTCTCAATATATTCTTTATTTTGTTCGACCTAATAAGGGAATAAAACAATACTCAGGTAAAAATAATTAATAGATTCACTTTGCCAAAACGTTAAATCATTCAAAATTGAATTAAAAACAAGTTTTAAATATATAAAACATAAATTCTCTCACAAATTAAACGAGAAGTTAATTACAAATTAGGAAACAAAGCTGATATGATTTTTAGACCAGTATTTCGTGTTAAAATAATTAGGTAAACCAGTAAGTTAAGTTCATACCTGATCTATAAAGCGTTTCACCTGCCGTCGAAGTGTCTCATTACTTAATTTTTCATGGAATCTCTTGAATAACACCAAAGGAATGGTTGCCAGCTCAGGGAAAGATATATGATATCTCCATTGTGAAAAATGTGCTGAAAGAAGTTCAATAGCAGAAAGGATGCACTCCTCTTGAAAGTTACGTGATTTCAGCAAATGCTTCGGCACCTGAATCATAAAATGGGAATCTCAAACAGGTTCATAACACTTTCTCAAACTTAATGGATTTAATAAGAACGCGTCAGCCCGCAACCACAACCGGATGCGATAAAAAGCCTGTGAAACCATACATTAAGGCTTTGCTTAGGATGGTTTTTTTATTGCTTCTTAAAGCAGCTTTCCAGTACAAAATTTAAAATTTTTATACTAAAAAGTTATTTTAAAAAATCAGTAAAAAAGTCGTCCCAAATGAAAGCCGAAATCTTGGATTTTGTACCATCTCATTCATATGATAGATATGATGTAACAAAGTAACAAAAGGATTCTGATTCACTTCTCTTTCAAATTAATTGAAAACACATGAAACTAATTGCACATGGTGAAAACATGCTCATAAGAAAACAATCAAACAATAGAGGGATCAATTACATATAAATATTATACATTACAAGGACATGTAGGAAATACCAAGTACAATGCATCAGAGAGTAAAATTGTTACTCACCTTTAAAACAGTTGAAAAATCAAATGCTTTCACACGAGTGGCATCTGCAGTACATCCTTTATGCTCCAAAAAGTCAAGTACCAGAGAAGCAACAGGAATAAAAACACCACTAGAAAGAGATAGCTGATTGAGCATCTGAACACATCTAAATCTTAAAGGTAGGTATCGAAGACTGGGAAACAAATGAGCTATCCCTTTTATTATTAGGATAGATAAGGAGAGCAGTGGCTGAAGATCATGATCCTTGAGATTACAATCAATAAACTTGACCCAGAGACTGACACAATTAATATACTGCCAATTGTGTATCTTCTTGAGTTCTTCCTGCATTTGACATAATTAAACAAAATGAACCTCTGATCTGTCAGACGATGATCACTATCAATTAGACTAAAAAGACTGTCAAAAACTCAGGCCTCATACTTGCAGTGAATTAACAGAAATGAATCTCGTCTCAGAAAAGTTCAAAATAACTTTTATCAGCTTTGGACCAGGAAAAAAACGAGAGTTGAAGGACTTTTCCCCGCTCCAGTAAGTTCATAAAAAATGCAATAAAATAGCCAACACAAACCATGTTTCCTAGGCCTGGTTATTAGGTAATAAAGATTAAAATCAAACCTGGATTTACTAGAAATAAGACTGCAAAGACAGACATATTTGACATGCATTTTGGATTTGTAAGAGATTTCTTACGCTTTTATGAATTAAATTGCAATGAGACGACAAAAATATTCTAAGATGCTATGGCTCACTATTGCACAGAGCACTACCACATTCTGACAAGAAAATGAGCATATTGTGACAGTAACCAAGCAAAACTTGCGCCACCCATACAATGACCAAAGAACCTGACCCTAGAAGGATAGTTCATTATTAAGTACATAATAGAATTCTTAGTCAATGGTAAGATAAAAGAATGTGTAACAAGATGGCAGATACGTGAAGGATGAAGTCAGAACTAAAAGAATGAGTACAAAATAAACAAAACAAAAAAGAGTTAGAAGCTTGGATAGCTAAGATGAAACTATATTGATAAGAAGTTCAACATTACCTAATTAGTACTGAAGGCCACGAAGCTAAGCAAGGGCTAGAATGGCCAAGAGAATCAGACCCATATGAATGGTCAACCTCTAGCACACAATATTTTACTTGCGATATAAATAGATATCATCCAAAAAAACTTAATGGCGAAAATGAAAAATAAAGAACTAGCAATACTAATATGCTAACCTTCTTCTTGGCTTTCATAGTCTGGCTCAATATGTTAGCCAAATGTTGCAAAGATGCAAAAACATGTTGGTAGGACCTTTGCAGATCCAAGGAGTACAATTCCACAATTGAATTCATAAGAAACTCCACTTTCTTCAGATTTCCATGTTCAAAAAACTTTGAATGTGCAATAAAAGCTTTATATGTCTTCATCATGCAAGTATCATACCAATCAGAAAGCAACATTGAGGCAATCTCTCGGACAACAAGGAAAGAAGACAGAGACAAGCTCTCCTCCCCAGTCACCCATAGATGAACTGAGATCTGCATCAAAATGGAAAATAGAATGTACTAAAAGAATCAAATGAATTATAGGAAGATGGCAATAAATTCTATCATATTCTAGTATGAAACTCTCCAACAAGCTTGGACAAGACTACCAAGCCCTATTAAATCTAATAATGCTAAGTATATTATGAGCAGGATCATGACATTTCCACAGTATAATGAAATAATGCTTGAAGTGGCAACTACCCCCCCTACATAAATGTTCACAGGGAAAAAAAACCATTAATCATATTTAGAAAGATAACCTTTAATGATCTTGCTGATAAAAGAGTCAATCTACAAAACTCAACTATAAAAAATGAAAAAAAAATAAATGACGATAGAATATTCTGATGCATTTTGCATCACAACGGCTTTCAAATCCCTAAGATTTTTGCTAAGAATAGCATAGTTCATAATATCACAAATAAATATTAATCTCAATGCAAACTCAAGCACTTTGAAGTCCATCTTGATGCAAAACACTCAGGACGTACTTAACAAAATTTTTCCATCAAAAATATTAGTGGTCCACAAACATCATAATAAACATCTGATAGCATAATGGATATTATTCTCTAACTCATAGTTTCAAAGCTAGATGCTCCAACAACTATGACACGTAAATTAATAATTTATAGTCATTTTCATTCATATATTATATATAAATTATCTACATCTAACATTCAATGTTCTTAATTAACCTCCATATGAAGCTGTGACTAGAGGCAACCCTCATGGAATAAGAATATTGTGTCAGAAAATTTACAATCTGATGGTAAGTACAATATATATATATATATATATATATATATATTAAAGTTTAAAATATTAACTTCATTAGCAACTCCTGAACATATCATGAATATTTTTGGATATAAATTGGAGAAATACATGCCATTCTCACCGATTATATCCCACATGTGCATTCCTATGTTTGTGCTTAATATAACAATTGTAAATTTTTTAGTTCTTATTGACATTTCAAATATATGACACTACTTGTTATTGAAAAAAAAACGTACATTAATGTAGTCAATATCATAGGAGTGTCATGCCCATATTAACAAAAATTGTGAGCTAATATGCTTACTGTATCTGCAGTATTCATACTTCATATCTCTGTTTCCTCTTTTTAAAAAATTCGACAACTAAATCCCTGAATTTCCTAAAAAAAATATAATTTGGCCACTATGATCTACTTCATCCGCAAATTTAAAGGGAGAGAGAGAACAGAGACTTGGTATAATACAGGTATAGAGGGGAGGGGAGCAAGCGAGTGGACAAACAAACAGTGCAAGTTCATCATCAGCAGGTGCACCATTTCCACCAATAATTCTTCTCTTTCTCCTCTACTTCAGCCCCACTGTCCATTACATTTACCGTCAAAGTAGAGAAAATAAAAGTATGAGTGGAATGCTGATTAAGAAACCATTATCACCACCAGACCACCATGCTGGTTGTTCAATGCTTGTTTCCTCCATAGAAAAGTCCTCCAACCATCCAAGTGAATCATCTGTGGATTCACCATTTCCACCACTTCTACACAACCATCTATTGTGCTCATTATAAAAAAACAGGATGGATGGGGTGGGTGAATTTATGAAGTCATATTCAACACTAAACAATTATTTGTTCAATGCTTGATCTCTCCCCATAACTACATCATCCCCTCAGTCACTTCTACCATCTTAAATGTTTCCATGATATCCTTGAGGCCAACGAGGAAGAAGATGAGACAAGATAGATGAGAAAGCAAGGATGAAATAATGACAGGAGGGGAGAATGGGAAGCATAGGTGATTGCAGTAGTGTTCTGAACTTCTGAAGGTACTCTTATTACGAAAGGATTAGGATAAATTGCAGAGGCCAATTTAGTTTCATTTTGATCCCTGAATTCCAAAAGCTCGTCCAACATGGTCCTTAATGATCAATTATCTTATATTCTAAAAGATATGATGTGATAAACTACTTAACAATAAAATATACAGTTAATACTTTTCATATTAGAAAGAGAATATGATGTGTTCCGCTGATTCAAATGTGTAAGATGGAATTGAAACGCAGGATCAAGGCCTTGTACCATCTTCAAGGTTAATGGAGCCTCGTCAAAATTGTTGAAATTCAAGGTATATAAGATTTTACACAAACTTAACACCATTTAATCAACCACCAAAAGCACGAACTACTCTTAGAATGGATGGTTCTGATGGCGAGAAAAGATAGTTGTTATTTTCACAGTACATTTCTTTAAATCGCCTCTAATTTAGTGCATGGGCCTGCTATGCTAAATAGTGCATGTTCGCCTATTGTGATTGTGAAACAATCAAAAGGGAATTTAAGTAGACTTCAAGCCATCAATCTTCCTCATTTTTTGGTGCATGCTCAAATTTTGAGAGATGATCAAAAACATTTATGAGATAATCCTTGAGTAGAAAAATGTGACATGGATTTGTAGTATAGGGCGGATAAAGTTCAAAAGATCCAAACAGAAATATTGCAAAAGTAGCGCCTATAGAAAATATTGTTGTAGAAATAAACCTAGGTTGATTGGGCATATGCAAAGGAGTAAGAGATGAGTCAATTAAAATGGGTTGATAGAATCAAATTGAGAGTAATAGGAAGGAAAACGATACATGAAGAAAAAAGAATTGAATGAAATCTTGCAAAAACTAAAGCTAACATCATAAGCATCTATCAGCATTGATAAATGGAGCAGAAGGATTTACAAACCTAGCCATAGATAGTTGGGGTTATCATTATGGTATTGATGAGTACTATGAGAACTGTCTTAAAGTTTTATGCCAGGGATGAAAATGATAACGAGAGAAACATTGTGAAATATTAAGCAAAAGCCTAAAAGGATACATGCACACATATATATTTATATGTTTTCTAGAACATTAAAGTAATGACGATTGAAGAGTTCATACTATGGAAACTCACATGATAAATTCCCTTTTACTAATGCAATACACCAATCAAACCAACAAATATACAATAAATGCATGAACCAACCATGTATTAAGTTGCATGCCTTCTGGAAGAATCAACATCATGAAAATCAAAGAATTCTCAAGCAACCAAAGCCATCCATTGCACCTACTATTCATCACATAGCCAAGCATTCAATGCAAGTCAAGGCAAATGTTTCATGGTTCATCAAATTCAATTGATGAGAACATTTCTAAATGATGAGAGACGGGAGAATTTTTGTTCATGATATTCTCAATATATTTGATGCTCGGACAAATTATCTCAAAAATGCATGCAATGGAGGACATATATATACATATCCAATTTATTATCTTATCTGCCTGATTCTCCACATCCTCCCAAATATACCAGTTATGCTCAGGGCTGGACTGCAGGATGACTCCGCGAATGTTTTCCCTTTAAAATTGCGTAGTGTACCTTTCATAGAAGACCTTAGTCTGCTTCCTTATTAAAAAAATAATAATAAATAAAAAATATCTTCTGCTTTTTCATTGAGAATATTGCTTAAGCTCAACCTTGTCCAAAACCTCTAGTATCTTGCATCATCAAATGATGTAAGAAGGCAGGGCTAAGTTGCCAACATAAAACCTTCAATGAAATATAAACACCAGGAATTTCAGGCAAATGCTTAACTTGAGGTTTTTCTGAATACCATTAACAATACCAAGCATTAACGCTTTCGCTGTAGTCACTGAGGCATAAAAAATCTAAAGCCTTGAGAAAGTTTACCTTGAACTTTAGGCAGCACATTTATAAAATCAAATCATAGAGAAATGGTGGGAAAATATATGGTAGAGCATAATACCTTGATGAGCAACTCAGTCAGTGATGGGAAAGCAGCAAAAAATACAATTGAAGATCTAAGGCGAGATAAGATGAAGACAAGAATCTGGCCATCAGTTACTTGATTTAGAAGAAGCAAGCAACTTCTCAAATAGGATTTCATTAGCGGTCTCACTAGTTTCCACTCCGATGTGTTCATGAACTTCAAAAAACTATCTTTTCTGCAAGAATCTGAAACACCCAACCATTTCCGAAAGATACCATCAGCTTCACATAAGATGAACATCAGCACCTTAGAAAAAACTTTTTCATCTAGAATTTCATGCAAATGGCTTTCATCTGAATCAAAACCATAACGGCAAGCAGCTTGAAATGTATGAAGCAGATTAGGTAGCGCAGGCCCTTCAGGTTGCTCTACTACTAGCCAACACCAGACATCTATAGTATGGCTGTTGATGGCCCTCCTGTCATGTAAACGCATACCCTCATTTGAAGAAACACCATTAGAGTAATTTGTGTCGCCATCCTCATCAGAATCCTGACATGTGAAAATGATTTAGCATGGTAAAAACTGGCAGAACTTTCAGAAAAATAGTAGATTACTTGCGCAAAAAATACATGCACTTTAAATTTCAATAAGAGCGTAAAAGAAATAAATGAAGGCTGATAGGTGCCAATCAACAGTTCTCAACAAGTTATTTCCTAGTATTATGTACTAAAGCCTCAACTATTTATACTAGCCCGTAATAAGGAATGTAGGGCAGAGATAAGAACAGGACCTACTGTACAACAACAACAACAACAACAACATCAAGCCTTTATCCCACTACGTGGGGTCGGCTACATGAATCCTTTTTCTCCATTGTGTCCTATTAAAAGTCAAATTCTCGTTTAAATCTAATAAAGAAAGGTCATTCCTAATATTTTCTAACCAAGTATTTTTAGGTCTACCCCTACCTTTCTTAACATAAGTCAAATCTAATACCTCTACTCTCCTAACCGGGTCATCGGAAGGCCGCCGTTTTATGTGACCAAACCATCTAAGGCGACTTTCTCTAATCTTATCTTCTACTGGAGCTACTCCAACCTTTTCACGTATATGCTCATTTCGTATCCTATCTCTAAGTGTAAAGCCACTCATCCACCTGAGCATCCTCATCTCTGCCACACTTAACTTATTATTATGCTTCTCTTTTAATGGCCAACATTCGGCACCATAAAGCATTGCAGGCCTCACTACCATCTTATAGAATTTTCCCTTAAGTTTGAGGGGTACATTTCTATCACATAACAAGCCCGATGCATTCCTCCATTTCAACCATCCAACTTGAATTCTGCTGATAATATCCCCATCTATTTCCCCATCACTCTGAACAATAGATCCAAGATATCTAAAACGTGTACTCTTATTAATGACTTGATCGCCCAAAGTCACAATCCCCTCACTAGGTTTATTACTACTAAAATTACACTCCATATATTCCGTTTTAGATCTACTCAAGCGAAAACCTTTAGACTCTAAGGTTGACCTCCATAATTCAAGTTTACCTTCAACTCCCTCTCTAGTCTTATCAACAAGAAGAATATCATCAGCAAAAAGCATACACCAAGGTACATCCTCTTGCAAATGTCTAGTGAGAACATACATGACTAAAGCAAAAAGATATGGGCTTAAGGCTGATCCTTGATGTAACCCAACCAAAATAGGGAAGAACAGGACCTACTGTAAGGGGAAAAAAAAGATTTCTTTGAATCCCTCCGGCTAAATTTCCCTTGAAACATAAGTAGGTCTCTTGAAATTTTCCAAACAAAAACCTCACACTACAGGCTTAAAGCAAAGGCCATTCATATCCATACAACAACATCAAGCCTTTATCCCACTACGTGAGATTGGAAACAAGAATCTTTTTTCTCCACTGTGTCCTGTTAAGAGTCAAATTCTCAATAAAATCTAAAACAGAAAGGTCATTTCTTAAATTTTCAAACCAAATCTTTTTAGACCTACCTCTACCTTTCTTAACATAAGCCAAATCTAATACATATACTTTCCTAGCCGGGTCATCAGAAGACCGCCGTTTTATGTGACCAAACCATCTAAGGAGACTCTCTAATCTTATCTTCCACTAGAGCTACTCAAACCTTTTCAAGTATATGCTCATTTTGTATCCTATCTCTAAGAGAAAAGCCACTCATCATCCACCTGAGCATCCTCATCTCTGCAACACTTAACTTAATATTATTCTTCACTTTTAATGGCCAACATTCTGCACCATAAAGCATTGAAGGTCGCACCACCTTCTTATAGAATTTTCCCTTAAGTTTGAGGAGGACTTTCCTATCACACAACAAGCCTAATGCATTCATCCACTTCAACAATCCATCTTGAATTCTGCTAATAATATCCTCATTTATTTCACCATCACTCTGAATAATAGACTCAAGATATCTAAAACATGTACTCTTATTAATGACTTGATCGCCCAAAGTCACAAACCCTCCACTAGATCTATTACTATTAAAATTACACTCCATTTATTTAGTTTAAATCTACTCAAATGAAAACCTTTAGACTCTAAGGTTGACCTCCATAATTCAAATTTACCTTCAACTCCCACTCTAGTCTTATCAACAAGAAGAATATCATCAGCAAAAAGCATAAACCATGATACAACCTCTTGCAAATGTCTAGTGAGAACATCCATGACTAAAGCAAAAAGATATGGGCTTAAGGTTGATCCTTGATGTAATCCAATAGAAATACGTAAATACTTGGTCAAACCACCTTGTGTATGAACACAAGTAACAGCACCTGCATGCATATCCATAATGACTTGAATATAAGAATTATTGACTCTCTTTTCTAGAACTTTCTATAGCACTTCTCTTGGAACTTTATCATATGCTTTCTTTAAATCAATAATTATCATATGAAGATTCTCCTTATTATTTTGATGCTTCTCCATCAAACCTCTCAATAAATGTATAGCTTCCATAGTAGATCTATCTGTCATGAATCCAAATTAATTTTAAGAAACATTAATATCACGTCGTAACTCGTAACCTATGCTCTATAACTCTCTCTCTCAAAGTTTTAAAGTATGACAAATCAACTTAATTTATCTATAATTTGCATAGTCTTGTGCATCACCTTTATCTAAAAAATAGGAATCAACACACTCATTCTCCACTCATCTGACATCTTTTAGTTTCAAAATAATATTAAAAAGTTTAGTAAGCCAAGAAATTCTTTCATCTCCTAATCATTTCCCACTTCTATTGGAATATCATCATGTCTAACAACTTTTCCACACTTCATTTTCTTTAAAGCCTCTCTAACTTCTGTTTTACTAATACGCGGATAAAAATAAAAATCTTTATTTTCATTTAGGATGTTAAGGTCACTAAAGTCATTCGTATTCTCACAATCTTCATTGAAAAGTTTAGAATAATATCTCATCCACCTATGTTGAATATCTTCTTCAAATAAAAGTACTTTTTGATTTTCATCCTTTATGCACTTTACTTGCACTAAATCCTAACTACTCATATCTCTTTGTTTGGCTAACTTATACATTTATCTTTCGTCATCTTTAGTATCTAATTTATTATAAAAATAATTAAAAGCTAAAAGATATTCATATTCATGATTAACATAATATTATCCGGGAAGTAAATTGAGTGCCGTCATATATAACTAAAATTACTTCACCTACACAAACAAACAAATAAACAAAAAATACATACTTAGTACTTAACTAAAAGAGACGATCATTTATGGATAAGACATGGATATCTTGAAGCTTCAAACAATACGTCAATAGGACTCCTAATGATGAACCATCATGTAGAACTAATTGAATATGGTGGACGCACATACCAATTTAGGGTATTGCTTTTAGGAAAAATAAACTTCAAGGCATCATTTCAAGCCAATAATAATTTCTTGATGAATTCCAGTCCGTTTCAAATCGGGAGAAATTAAAAAAATATTACCTAATGAGTAGCATCATTCTAAATGTCGCTTTCATATCATTCTTTCATCAATGAAAATCTCAAAAAATAACCAAGATATTTGGTGCGTCAAATAGTTTAATACTTGTTTAATACTATGTATAAAAGTGAACCAAGATAGTAAGCTGTGGGCTAAGCATACAAAGCTCAACCATGAAGCTTAAGTCATTGAACATTCCTTATTAATAGAGAGAAAGATCATGACCAGTCTACCCGCCTTCACACCAAGCAATTTTAAAACACGTTTAATCTAGAAGTCTAGTATGTCACAAAGTATCAGATTAAACACAAAGTTACATATTTAGTATTCCTGTCACTTGTTATTAAAAATTAAGGGGCATTATATAAAAAAACAAAAACAAAAAAAGTCTGGAAAGGTAAAACAGGTTCCACGCACAATTTTCATTAAACTGACACTTAAAAATAAGAACAAAAACAACATTTTAAAATAATCGTGCCAAAGACTTCATTGGTGTAATAATCAATAAATTGTGTCAAAATGCAATGTAATGTACGTACAATTTCCTCGCTCTCTGATTTCTGAAGTTCAGCTCTTCGACTTTCCAAATATTTTGAAAATTTTGGAACCTGAAAATTGCCATTGAGGTTAACTATCCCATATTATCTGTAACGCAGAACCACAAAAGAGATCATAAAGAAAGCAAAAAAATTATAGCATCTTCTTAACAGGGAAATATTAGTGAAAAGAACGTATGCTGCCAGTGTTGCACAATAAATAAGTAAAAAAAAAAGTTAAAAATTCACGTTAAAAACAATTCCATACACCTTTACCCTAAAATTAAGTTCACATATTTCATGAAATTCAAAAAACAAAAACTGAATTAGCTGATTCAAACAATACATTTCCAAATTTAATTTAACCACATAATGCAACTTCAAATAGTTGGAAACTAGGATAATATAACTTGTAAGTTTTTAACACTATACATAAAAAGAAACACCTTGAAGACATACAATAAGCCATGATAAAGGAAGTTCTAAGCTATAGTCATTACTAGGCAAAAGTACTAGTATAAAACCCAAACAAGATGACACGTCAAAAACACAATGGACACTCTAAATTCCTGTTCTTTAAAGACACCATGGATGCATAGACATGTAGCGTCTTTATGTACTAAGAATCTTAATTGATGTCATTTTAATACTCTAGTATGTGATTATTCTGCATTAGAAATCTTGGCTCTTGCATGATACAAGTATAATAGAAAAGAATACTTTTATGTCTTAAATAGTAAATAAAGAATGAAGCTATTTTAAACACACATACCATATTTCATTTGCAAATCACGTCTTTTTCTTAGCTCAAAATATAAGCACAGTGGTCATCTTTCAGTTAAATGTACATATTCTGGATGTAACAATTCATAATCACGAATTGCATATGTAAAAACACAGCATAAAAATTTGGAGTAGAACATACTGGATTATCTTTATAGTTTTTCATCCATTTTACATTTGCATATGTATGCTTGAAAGAAATACTCGACTAATGAAACACTTGCCGAGGATGAATGTAAGACAGCTTTATAATGTGTCCAAATAGTTTGATTAGGATAAGATGATTATGCATGGAATGTACTACAGACGTATTGATTGATATTAATCAACCTACTGAAAATGATGCTAGGATTAATTATAAAACACTAATACAAACTTAAACTTTAGGAATAATTATACTTTATAAACATTACTAATTATCTCAAACTTTTGAGATTGATTTTAGGTGCACCGTTTGGTTCTTTTAAGAAGAACCAAATGTCCATTCTGCATGCAATTCCATTTTCAAAATATATAGTGTTTTGTTGCTTTAGAAAATAATTGAAAACTAAAATTCCATCACACCGATATATAGGAGTGAGCGACTACTATCCATTTAGAATGATGGTCATTTATTCCCACATATCTTTCAAGTTTCAACAACTATCATAAATTTTAAAAAACTAAGATTTATAATAACTAAATGCCTATGATCACATAAAAAGAAAACTAAAAGTTGTCGTTTAACACCTTTGAATCTTAGCTATTCAAAATTTATAATGGAAGGTAAAATATACAATCGTCTAAAATGCTTTGTGCTTCTAAATAGGTAAGGAATAGGTAAGGAAAAGGACCCTTTCAGGGGTTCCTTGTAGGTATTTGAGAATCCTAGTAATAGCATTCATGTGTTCAAGTGACATGCATGAACTAACTTATCAATCTAATAGCAAAGGTTGAGTTAGCACTAGTACGAATGAGCCAAGAGGAGTCCCCTACCAACATTCTATATCTTCCTTCGTTGACTAGAGAACTGGTGCTAACATCACTCAATTTCATGTGTTTCTCTTGAGAGACAAGCATGAACTGACTCACCATACTAATAGTAAAAGCTATGTCAGGTTTGGTATGAGTCAAATAGATGAGTTTTTCATCAAACTTTTGATATATTCCTTTATCGACTAAAGTACCGATACTATCACCCAAATTCATGTCAGGATCTATTAGAATGTCAATTGGTTTGCTTCCAGTTAATTTAATAACGAGTAAAAAAACTAGAATGTGCTTTCTTTGAGAGATGGTGAGGCCAAATTTGTTTCTAGATATTTTCTGATGCGGGCATCCAACCGTCCATGCTAATCCGAAGAGCTGAAGATCGACGACCGAGATCACTTTGTTTTATTTTTGTTTATTAAGTGTATTTTAATTTAGTTTTGCAATTTTCCTTTTTACCCTCTTGTCTTATGTAAGCCCAAGGGGCGAATGTGTCTTTTAATTTCTCTTGAGGCCTATATATAGAGGCCCCTTCTCTTGTATTTGGATGATGGATTATTAATAAAATTTTGTTTGCACTTGTGTTCTCTGGAGAGAACGTTAGTGAAATCCCTATGGGAGGGAGTCGAAGTTTCCACCAGCAGCAGGATGGGTCCGGGCTCGTGGCGTGAAGTCCCTGGGAGGAGGGCAACGTAGTACCCGTCAGTCTTTGGAAAAGTCTGAGGCTCGCGATTTTTGTTATTTTCTCTCTTTCATTTTTATCTCTTCTTTAAATTGTTTTTGTTCCATCGTTCTTCCTCCTCCCCATCTTCGTTTGGCCTCCAGATTCTAGCCCCTCCACCTAAATTTTGGACAGTTTCAAAATTCAAATTCAACTAATTTGAAATTTGAATTCTTTCCTAATTTATCATTCTATTTTTGGAAAGTTACGAAATCCATTTTATTTGAATTTCAAATTCAAATAGAATTTATTTGTTTATTTCCTAAATCCTAATCCCAAATTAAGTAACCACAATTGAGTGCATTAAACCCATATTCCCCTTTGGATGCCACCGGCCCACCTCACCTCCACCTTGGCTTTAATTAATCATTATTTCCTATTCTCCCAATATTGCTTTTGGAAACTAATTTCAAATCCCTTTACATTGCTTCCATCAGATTTTTTTTTCCTAAGCTCTATTTCCCAAATCAATTCACTGGTTTTGGAAATAGAAATTCATCAGATTTTTCTATTCTTTTTTACCGTCCCCCTCCTCTAATTGATCCAGATTTCTTCCCTAATCAAGAACCGGTGGATTGGAATCTTTCCTCTCAGCTTTTCTCCCTCACCATTAGTTCTAGCCATTATTTCCTTCCCAAAACTGAGAAGTGGAATAAGGAAATAATTCCCAATTCTTCTCTACAGCCCGCCACTCCTCTTCACTGAATTTCTCCACTCCCTCTCAATCCCGTGATCCCCTCTTCCTCCTTTATTCCCCACCTAATTTCTAAAGCCTTTTCCTCATCTGTTTCCTCTACTTCCTAAGCACAAAATCTGAGAACTTTTTTCTCAGATTTCGGAGAGGAAACCTGAGGTTGTTTTTCAACCCGTACTACTTGAACTTGAGATTTCCTTCTCAGGTTTTAGAAAGGAAACCTGAAGTAATTCTCAGAATATTGGGAAAAGGCGTGACGCTATTCTCCACCTCCAATTCTCTCAGATTTTGTGAGAAAAATCTGAAATGTTTCAGATTTCCTATAGGAATCGTAACAGATTATTGCCTTCAAGCTCTCCCTAGCAAAGCCGTCATTCTCGTTCTACATCATTTTCATTCCAAAAAAATATATGAGATGCTAAAGGTCTTTAATTTTGAATTCTTCTATCGATTTTTTATCAAGAAATTCATCTTCAAATCATGATCTCCTGTGATAAGAAGATCATCAATATATACATAATTAATATGGTAGACAAAGTATTTGTAGAACACGACATGCCGACATGGTCAAAGTGAACATGTTTCAACTCCTATTTACTCACAACTTTTGTGAAACTTTTAAATCAGACTCGAGGTGATTATATGAGCGCGTAAATATTTTTTTTTTTTCAATTTGCAGACAAAGTCTATCTTCCCAGTGCCACTAATCCTTTCAAAAGGAATCATAAAAACTTCCTCATTTAAGTCAACATTCAAGAATATATTCTTAGAATTCAATTAGTGAAGTAGACAATCAAGATTGACTGCCATTGAAATGACCGAAATGATCCTAAGTTATGCCAAAAAAGCAAAAAAATTAGAATAGACGATCGCATAATTTTGGGCAAATCCTTTTGCAATCAGCCATGTTTTATATCTCTTAATGGATCCATCAGATCAATATTTCAGAGTGAAAGTACATTTACGTCCCACAATGATAGCATCCTTAGCTTTCAATTTATTTACTTGCACACTACTTACACCAATCATTTGGCTGAAAAATATCTACTTTTTGAAAAATTTTATGAGTGGTAAAGTATTCTGACACTCAGACTTCCATGCTTGCAATCCCGAGCTTGATCTTATCATTCACAAAATAGAGCAAAATTTTCAAAATTTGAGTACGCCATGCTGACTTTCTCCCAAATTCATATAGGGATGGACTTCTTACTCTTACAAGGAGGGTTGGTCTTTTACTCTTATGAGGAGAATCAACATTCTCCACCCAAGTACATTATGATATTATTACCGTCAAGTGCAAGATCAAAATAACCCATTCCATTTAATCTCATTAAAACTAATAAAATGTAATTTTTAAGATCATTTGACCATCAATCGGGTGCATCAAAATTCTAACAATAAATGACTCCAATTGTAATAATGAGAGAATTTTGATTTCTAAATGTAAAGACTTTCAAATGTCTTGGGATCGAATACATGGGTTCTTGATATCTAACATGTATTGAATGATTTTTATTGGTGAAATGCATCAGTAAACCTAAATTTCAAAAGGGCATCTATATGTCATTCAATTACCCTACATTGATTAATGGTTAAATCCTACCAAAATTGATAAAACTCGATCCAAACATAATTCTTTTATTGTAGGTCACAATCATGTGTAATTCTCTTTTGTTCTGTAGACAAAATGATGACAAAATAATGCTTACCTGAGAAAAAAATTCTTGCCAGACATTCAAAACGTCACAATATGTGTTTCACCATCGTAAGGGGCTTGAATGAGGTTGAAACCCATTTTCAATATTATTTCCAATCTTTTAATTCAACTACAGCACCACCCAGCAAGCGTATACTGGTCACATTCAAGTAAGGGTGTCAATATTTGATACGACCCAAAAATACGATTCGAACCCGACCCGAAAATACGGCTTAGGGTCAACTCGGATCCGAAACCGGTCGGGTTCAGGTTCGACAATTCGACCTGTTTCAAAAATCGGGTCGAGTTTGGGTTGACCATTTGATCTGAATTGACCCGTTTTTTACCCAAAAACCTGTTTTTTGACCCGGAAACCCGTAATTGACCTGTTTTCGACCCATTTTTTAACGGAAAAGCATAGATTGATCCATTTTTTAATGGAAAACTAGCAATTTTTTTACCACCCTGGGTCATTTGGGTCATGTAGGGTTGACCCAAATTCGAAGCGGGTTAGGTTTGGGTCCGAAAAACCAACCCATTTGCAAAAACAGATCAATTTCGAGTTCGACCCGAACCCGACCCTTGACCCGAAATTGACACCCCTTCATTCAAGTAGAACATGTATTGTCACAGAAAGCAAGTGTTACCAGAAAGCCTATGACAAGGATCCATTTTGCTTGTGCACAATCTTTAGTACACTTGGTTTCAACCTTTCTACTCAATCTGAACAAGCACAACAAGACACCAAAGAAAAACAAACTATGCCAGCACACTGACTATTTCAACTAGCTACGTTCTGAAGCTGAATCCAAATACTCCCTTATTTCTTAAGCCATTCGATAGCCAACACAAAACGGTACGAAAAACAACAGCGAATGAATTGCTGTTATAGCATTCATGGAATGAAAATAAAGTCTCATTAAATTACTACTGCAAGCAACACCAGTCAAATAGGCACATGGGAACATCAGTCAGAATGAATGCAGCCAAAATCCCCTCTCTTCATTACACTTCAGTCCACATTTTTTTGTTCTTTTCGACAATAGTTCACTCAATTTAATATGTCGGCGTGAGTACACAGCAATATTTGTTAATTTCTAACTAGTCTCATTAAAAGATCAGAGGTGTTTGAAACACAGATTTTTAAACAAAAATGCAAAACATGGTGAACATGTGATTCATAAACAAGCCAAACATTAATATTTAGTACTTTCCTTGATTCATCGAAATATTCAATGATTAATTTATAGCATGCAAAATCAGAGGCATGAAATACTAGCACTTTATCGTGATGAAAAGAGCTAATTTCATCAGGCAATAATATGTCCAAAAGAGTAGCAAATGACTAGAAAATCATCACCTTCTCCAGCAGCATGTCAAGCTTTCCCTTTTGCTCTACAATCTCCAAGTGAATATTTTTGTTGCTTTCTGACAAAGCAGCACGCTCACCATTGTCTGCAAATATTAAGTTATTTTTGTGGATTGATATTAGCTTGATTTCACAAATTGCAAACATAAGATATGCAGACCTTGGCCTTTATTCTCGGTTTCAATATCAGAAATGTAGGGGCACTCGGGATCCTGCTTACAGCAAAGTCAGGGAAACTGTTAGTGAAGAGAGCTGGAACACCACTAAAGCGGATCCAGGTTTTAACAAGACATTGAGGTTTACAGCAAGAACAAGTTTACAGTACAACATGGATATGTTTCAACATCTTCCAACAAAGTCCAGATTTAAATGCCAAAAAAGCCTAATGAATACCCAGAAAAAAACATTGAGAGACAATGATAAGAATCCGCTTGAGAAACAGTAAAAGGAATCCAATTCCCGGAGAGTTAACATACATATTAAAAGATGAAATATAATATTCACAAAATGATACAGCAGAAATAAACGAGACTTAGATCAATAACAGAGAAAATGCATAGGCATCCAAAGTGGATGCAGATGTGAGGGCTGCTAAGAACTTGCAATAGGGAGCATGAATGGTCTAAAAGATAAAACAATCCAAATTATAGTATAAGACCAGGATCATAAAGTGGCATAAATATTAAAAGAAAGGGACAAATTATTACCTTACGCAATACATTTAAACATGTAGCAGGCAAAGAAATGGAAGTAAACTTACTTTACAATGACTTCAAAATTTTCAATCATCATACAAAGGGCAGTCCAAAAAGATCTTAGTTCATGAAAAGCTCATATTCGGCTCACCAATAGAATCACATTCAACTCGCTCATTATGGAACCAGGCCAAACACAAACAAATGCTTTGAGCTAGTTTTCTAAACTGCTTTTTAAGACTAACAATAAAGAATTCCATCCTAAAAAGGTGGGAAGAGAAAGTCTACAATGTGGGTTTACTTAATTGAAACAACATCCACTTCTATTGAAGTTAAAGTTTTTTTCTTTACAGTGCATGTGCTATAGGATAAAAATAGGCAAAACAGCACAACTACTTAGACATATTGATAAATGTGAAACCATAAAATCCAATTGTAAACAGGTTATTGATATGTCAAATAATATGCCGAATAAATTGAATTTATTACCTTTTTAATGCTGATACAAATGTGATAACACAATATTTCATTACCGAAGGAATTATTATTGATCATAAATTAGACAAATAATTGCTAATAATAATTGTTCATGAGTATGTTTTCATGATAGTTGAGCATATGTGGTTTAATGTATCGCTGAAAATCTTAAATCCTAATTATGAGAGAGTCTAAATTTTTTGCGTGTCATATGAATTATGATTCCTCTAGAACAGGTATGGCATAAGACTGTGCAACCCTACAGAGGATAAAATTTTTTAAAACACACTTAAATATGAGCTCCACCTTTTCATATATCTACCAATCCATATGCTTTGTTTTTATCAGTTCAATGTGGTATTCTTCAGCAGTCACTCATTATGGAATTTAATGCATTTATTTGATATTTAGTGTTGCTATGAATAGCACAATTTTGTAGACCTATTAGAGTTGTCTTTATTGCTAAAATTTAGTATTGTTATAAATGATTCAATAACAATTTGCGATGTTTGATCATCTTCCTAGCAATGATAGGAGTCAATAAACATCATCTTCCTAGCAATGATAGGAGTCGATAAGAACTAAATCTTCTCAGAAATATTCAAAGAGTAAATTTCAAATAGCTCATTAGGAAACAATCATTTTCAAATTTTATTCTCATGAATGAACATACAATTGTAAAGCCCCAAAGATATTTTATTTTATATTTATATTAAACCTTCAATGCCTTTAACGAAGAAAATTCAAAACAAATACCAACTCCCGAGGACACTCTGCTCATATGGTAGCTTGTGAAATCAATACTTAATCCCAATTTTTTGTAAGTGCACAAAGTTCACGTAACAAAATAAAATCATTCAAAAACATCAATAATGACTATGTTGAAAGTAAATCTCAATCGTAATTAAATCTATATTCAAAATGTCCTCAAATCTCAATGAAAATTATTTTGGGCTCAAATTCAAGTAAAATTTAAAAAAAATCAAGAAAAATCACAATATTTAATATTCAAGAGAAATCTACTACCCACAAAACAACAACAATACCAACAATAAAAAACCTTTATCTTACTATATGGGACTGGCTACATGAGTCATTTTTTCCCTATTGTGTCATACTAAGAGTTAAATTCTCATTTAAATCAAATAAAAAATTATTTTTAATACTTTCTAATCAAATATTTTTAGGTCTATCTCTACCTTTCTTAACATAGGTTGAATCTAAAACATCTATTTTTCAAATAGGATCATCAAAAAGCCTAAGTTTTATGTGACCAAACCCTCTAAGGTGATTCTCTCTAATCTTATCTACCACCGGAGCTACTCCAACCTTTTCATGTATATACTCGTTTCACATTCTGTCTCAGTTGTAAAGCAGCTCATTCAACTAAGCATCCTCATCTCTATAACACATGACTTAATTGTATGCTTCTCTTTTAATGGTCAACATTTTGCACCATAAAACATTACAAGTCTCACCACCATCTTAAGAAATTTTCCCTTAAATTTGAGGGATAGTTTTCTATCACACAACCAGCCCAATGCATTCCTCCACTTCAACCATCCAACTTGAATTTTACTAATAATATCCTCATCTATTTTATCGTAACTTTGAACAATTTGATCTCAGATATCCAAAACATGCACTCATTTAAATGACATGATCACCCAAAGTCACAAAACATTCAAAACGAATCCATCTATCATACATAGCAGTTTGTCGAGTATAATAGATATAAGAATAACCTCAGCTCACAAATGGCAAAGGTCTTGTTTAGCATATTTTTAAGATTCATTCTCAAATGATCTATCGTCATAAAAATATGGCATGTATCCTCTAACAGGTGGTTTGCTGGCAAATGACATCATATGTAAACAATTATAACTAGGGCGCTCTAACCGAATCACTATGTCTTAAAATGACACCATCAAATTACAATCAAAATTAAAGTGCGCAAGTTCCCAAATGGACAAAAAACTCTTTGAGTAATAAATCAAGTGGTGCATTTGATAGAGCACAAGACCCTATATTAATTAAGGTCGACTTAAACTTGGCCCCTTAAATAAATATTCATCAAGATCTACAAGGTTCCTTTGGGTGAAACAATCCATGACTACCGAGAAAAATTCTTTAGTCAAATTAGGTCGACTACCTCCTATGATTAAGCAAACTAGGAATCATGACAACCTTAAACAACGGAACTATAAATCTTAATACGGTTCATCATCATCCCCCACCCCACCATTTGCTTTCAGTTCATGACAATAAATTTAAAACCTCATGCTAAATTTGTAGCCGCTATATGCTGAACATTTACCTTCTCTCATAAGCTATATGATTTAAAACTTTTGAGATTGGTGACTCAGTGATGGTGCGGATTCGTCCGGAACAATTCCCACAAGGAACTGTTAAGAAGTTACATGCCGAAAGAGTGGGGCCATTCAAAATAATCAAGAAAATCAATGACAATGCTTACGAGATAGATCTGCCTATATAATTCAACATTAATCCCTCCTTTAACATAGAAGATCTGATTGCCTATGAGGGTCAGGAGTTTAACCCATCAAATCCACTTTAATTTGAGCCTTGTGAGAACCCAAGCTTACCTCCACTCCCAAATGTTTCTAAAACACCTATAGCAGAAAAGGTTTGCATGATTTTAAGTGATGATATTATTTCTACAAAAAAGGGTGATCGAAGAAGATATTTGATTAAGTGGAGAGGCAAGCCCAGGTCAGAGGACACCGGGTTAAAGCGCGAGGAGCTTCAGCAATCGACCCAGAAGCACTAGAGTTCTACAAGAGCACCCAGGATGCATACTCGACGGAGTCAAGCTTTTTTCCTCCCCCGGAGAGTGATGAGTACATCAGGACATGGAAAATTTATTAGAGGCATGGACGACGATCTACGGCCACGATTTCACCGCTCTACTTTTGATTTTCGTATTTATTATTGATGTATTAGTTTTTATTTATGAAGTTTTATTATGCTTTCCATTTTTGCCCTTACGTAAGGGCTTAGGTATGTGTAAGCCTTAAGGACATTGTGGCACTTTGTAATTTCTCATTGTATGGGCTATTTAAAGCCCCCTCTTCTTCTTTGAGGATTAATGAATGAATTATAAGAAAATTCCTGCACAAGTGTTCTTTGGAGAATTGTGAGAGTTATCTGAGAGAGCTTTGGAGAAATCCCTAGGGAGGGAAATCGGATCACCCACCAATCTTGGAGACGGATGGATTTGTGGTCCCCTAGCCTCCGGCCTAAGGTCCTTCCAACCCCTAAGCCGTCGGCCACCTAATTCCCCCACACTAACCGTCGCCTAGATCCACTACCCACCACCATCCACGGCCGCCCTCACACCGCCTGCCCATCCCCTTGGCTTCCCCCCTCATCTCCACTTGCCATCAAGTCTTTCCTAAATTAGATTTCATATTTTTTGTAACTCTATTAATGATCAAATTCAAATCTATTTGAATATGAAAAAGTTACCTAATATATAAATCCTATTTTAGAAAACTTACTAAAACATAGCCTATCTAAATTTGAATTAAATTGGGATGAGATCTTTCATTCCAAATTTAGTTTGTTAATTCAGGTAAGCATTGATTGCTTCATTAATCCCTCCCTCCTTATTTCATTCCATTATTAATTCCCAATCATGCCCCTAAATCAAATCCAATTAAATTCTCATTGGGTTTGATTTAATCTAATCACTCCTAATTGAAAAATTATTGATTAGATTTTAGCAGCACCCCCTTGGCAGCCCTAGCCGTCTCTTCCCAAGGCCCCTCACTCCAGAATTTCCCCTCTTTCGGAAATCTCTAACTGCTGTCCAAGAAATACAGCAAGTCTCCCCTGCTATCTTGTATTCCCAAGAGGCTTATCTTTTTATCCAAGACCCCTCCGACTTGGGGAAATGCTGTCAGATTTTCTGGATGTTGTTCTGGCTGCTAACTGAAGCATTTCAAGTGCCAAGCTGCTGTCCCGATCTTCCTGTGCTGTTGTTTACACATCTCTACTTGCAGTCCAGAAATTCCTGG